TTTAAGGCATAATTCATGAAATTATTTTAATAAAAATAAAGAATATGGTACATATTATTGAAAACGTCATTAATAAATACAATGAATGCAATTCTTAGTATTCAAGACTGTGATTCATAAATACAATGACAGGGTTTCATCAAATTATATCTGGGCTTCATTAATATTATGCCGTCTGTTCATCAGGACAATGAAAAAGTACATATAAACTAAGAACGATGTTTATTGTTACTATGAAAAGTTTCATTAATACAAATACCTTAATGTTCGTTGTTCATACACAAGATGAATCGAAATAGGAATTAAGAAATTGTTCATACTTCAATAACCTAGAGTTCATGTGATCAAAGAAGCCGTTCTTTGGACCGATTTTAATGAATTGTTCATTAAATCAAAGAACAACTTCTTTTTATTTATGCTACTATTTGGTTGAGTGTAGAGTTTTTACGCTATTTTTTGGCCACCCTGTATAACTCGAGACCAGACGAGACCACTCGAGACGAGACGAGACTTTGGTACTCGAGACTGAGACTAAGTCACGGTCTTGTCTCGAGATGTCGAGACGAGACCAACCCTAAGTCTCGTCTAGTCTCGTCTCGCGGCACCACTACAATTGATCGTATAAAACCAGCGTTTATAGATACATGTTTGTTGGATAATTCTTTAAACTCACTATTGAAGGTGTAAGAATCTGCACCAGTGAAACAAGAAAAAAGAAAAAAAAAAGTATGGTTCAAAATTTCGGAGTAGAACACTTCTGGAGGAAGGTTATGTAATGACCCTTGTGTTTTTATCTTTGTGTATTGAATTTGCTCTGATTTCGCTCAAAGGAGAATCCTTTTAATTTCGAAATAAGATTTTATTGTGTTCAGTCAACATAATAACCTCGCTCAGTTCTTGTTATATTGGTTTCTGTGGATTTTGTTGAATATGCTGTTCTCTGTTAAGTAGTTCCTGAAAGTGTCTCTTCCAACGTATTTGAACAGTCTTCCGCCATCGTTGGATCGTAAGGGGTTGAGTCCTTGAGTGGTTGATCCGCATACCATCTTAGTAGCCTGAAAGAAGGCCCTAGTGCTGTTGCATTCAGCTAGTTGCTGCATTTCGTTTGATTTTATTATCCACTATTGGTTCTTTATTACTCGCGTTTGATGTCTTCGAGCTTCTGCTTTTGCTTGTTGTTATTGCCTTTTTTTATAGTCGAGCTGGGGTCGCTTTCCCATGCATGCGTTTCTTTTTCTTTCTATAAGGTCTAGAATTTCAGTGTTGTTTTCATCTGGTTTGATCATGAGTCTTGATGTTTCTTTTATATGTAGCCGACTGTTTCTTCCGAGACATATATTATTGCGATCTTCAATTCTTTCCGGTGTTCCTCAATGCTTTCCGGGTACTCTAGCGGCAGTTTATGGCTTAGAGAGGCTTTGAAGTTTGTCCTCACATGATCGCCTTGAAGCCATTCTATGTTAAATTTGCGTTCGAACTGCTTCTATTGACTCACCAGAGCGTAGGTGAGATGAGGAAGTTTATTCTGGCTCATATCAGTCAATGGTCAATCGATCAGCAGTCATCCGCACTTGTTAGAGCTCTCGTAATGCATACATCATTTTGGTCTCTACAACGTACAATTATAATGAATTAGATGCGAGTGCTTTGACCTCGGGTGTTTCCAGGAAGTCTTGAATTTATTCAATTATCGAAACAGTGTTTTCGTTACAAGGTCTGTACCGCCCCGTCCCTAAAATCACCTAAGAGAACAATTTCATCAGATGATATGGTTTCACTAAGCTGGGCGTGAAATACCCCTCTTTGGTTTTGGTCAGTTGTGAGGGTTGAAGAGTAGGCCCTGATTAGGAAAAAAAATCCATACTTTCAGGTTGCACTGAAGATGGCTACGCCGAAAGCGCTTTGCACTGATATTAATTAAAGTAATTTGCACGGAATACAAATATTTTTCACTCATTAACTACCTCAACTTGCGCACACAGCCTTAAACTTCAATTATTTTTTTATGGCGTCTTTGGATGCGATATTCATTGGGGTTTCTACACGAAGTAGCTCATTCCTGCACACCTTCCACATCAAACATTATGATTCTGTGATCGAAGGGAGAGGGTTCTACGGACACCCTTCAATTTCTAATCATTTGGTGTGTCAGGTCTTACACCTCCTACCTGACCCTAGTACAAAATGTTGATGTAATTCATGCATTATGTATAGTTGGATTTTGAAAAATGAATTCTAACAGAAGCTCACTTCTTTGATTTGTGTCAGTCCTTCCCCAGATGGTGTTGTGCGCGTTGGCTTCACAATCGAGTATGAGCGGTGGTTCGGTCCTGTTACAGTACTCGACTAGTCTCTGCACTTCTAGTGGTGCTTGACCATCTCGAACGAAGTACCCTGATGCTGATACCCGGTCGCGCTGTAATTGTTCGATGACAAGGTTTACCCGAACGGTAACCAGGACTCGCGACGTGAGTTCTGAAAGACCTATAAGTGATTGGTGCTTTGGTTCAAGGGAGTGCATGTTCTGTTCAGCCAGAAAGATACTTGTCAGGATTCTCTCCAACTGACTTCTCCCTCTGGCCGAAGCAACCCCACACAGTGTGGCTTTACAGACCTAACCCAGGTACAGCAGACATGATATTCAGTGCAAGATAAATGCAAGAAAAATCAAAGAGCAAAACAAACCCTTGTATATGGCATATATCCACCTTGTCAAAACGTTTGACTCTGTTAAACGAGGCGCTCTCTGGAAAATACTGGCATCGCACTGCTGTCTGCCTGAATCCATCAACATACTTCGTATGCTGCATGACAACATGAACGCCACTATCCTTACCAACGACGGATACGGGAAAGCCTCTAAAGTCACAACCGGAGTGAAGCAAGGATGTGTCATTGCGCCAAGTCTATCCTCTATATTTGCAAAAGCTGTACATTCCTTGTTCAAGAAAACCTGCCGTTACGCGTTGATATCTCCTATAGAACTAATGGTAAGCTATTAAATCTAAGCAGACTTCGAGTCGAGCCAAAAACAAGGTAGGTATCAGGTCAGGGCCGTAGCCAGAGGGGGGCATTGGGGGGCAATGCCCTATCTTTTAAATGATAATGCCCTACCTTTAAAAATTAACATACATTGAGGTTTCTTTAGAAAATTTAAGAGTAGATGATGCCTAAAGTAGATAGGCCTGAAATCGAGTAAGCGAGGATGAATGTTTCCGAAAATGCCTAAATCTAATGAACAATGGTTGACGTTTGCACAGAGGAATTTTTGTTTTTGTTTTGAAAGAGTGCGAAAGGCCCAGGCGGCCGGCGCGAAAATCCGCGCCATTTTGTTTACTTGCCAGAGATGTTATATTTATTGCAAGGTTGTTTGATAGAGGCGCCTCAACATAATGCAAATCTCTATAAGGTATCCCAGATCAGATGCGTCATTAAGTTACCCATTACCATACTTTACCATACATTATATACATACCATGATGCGTCATCAAGTTACCCATTACCATACAACCTGAACCTTTGATTTATTGAAAAATTTTGTTTACCTTTAAAAAATTTAGAGAGGAAGGGGGGGAGGCAAGTAGTCTATGCCCTACCTTAAATTTGACTCTAGCTACGGCCCTGTATCAGGTCTTCAAAAAAAAATAACAATCAACGATTGCTATGGTTTTTTAAACGTATGTCTTAGCAATATTTTCCTTTAATTTTGTCAATGAACTTTAATGTCAAAATGTCATGTCAAAAATTCTGACCAATAAACGAAACAATAATGCGACGTACGTTTTCGTAATCAAAGCAGTCTTTGATTGGGTTTTTTTTTGAAAGTCCGGTATCTATAACAACTGTTTGCGAACTTCAATATGCTGATAATAACGCTTTTCTGGCAAACACCACAGAACATCTACAATCTACTCTAAATGCATTCAATCAAGCATACGAAAGCATCGGTCTAGAACACAACCTAGTTAAGACAAAATTCCTATACCAGCCTGCCCTGAATACTAATACACCAGACCTAGCTCTAACTATCAATGAAGCACCGCTAGAAAATATAGCTTTGCAGCCCTGCAGTCATCTCTCGGTAAATGCAAATATTAGCTTTTTTTCGCGGAGACGATCCCAAACGTATCCTGAATACTAAGGCATGACCTACGCAGGTTTACTAATCAATAGGGACATGAAACTGTCAAATATTACTTGCGTAGGTCATGCCTCAGCGTTTGGGATCGTCTTCGCGAAAAAAGCTATTTACGCGAAAATTCAACATGCACCAGCGCTATTTCTGGATGGCTGTTAAACATACATAAATGAGTGCCCAAACTAAGCTTGCGGTCTACAATGCTCATCCAACATCAGCTTCGCTGGGCTGGTTATGTCGTCCGCATGCCAGACTCCATGTCTTCCTGAGCAGATTATGTACGCCCAAGGGAAAAATGGCCGACGCAGCAAAGGGGGCAATCTAAACGATTCAAAGATGTCCTCAAGGCAAACATGATAGCGGGTCAGATCGACATGAGTGACTGGGAATTCACGGCTTTAAATATACCTACCTATATTGCGACAAAGTATCCATCAAGGCTCTGAATATTTGGATGGACAAAACCGAATGGATGCAGAGGATAAACGTTATCGTAGAAAAGAACGACAATGTTTCATAAAGTGATAAGAGCTGGTTAACAACGACGACCGGATACTGCTGACTGAGTACCTATGCAATCAATCTGGAAGAAATTATGGGTCAAGAATAGGCTTTTCGGCCTTTAAAGAATCCACATAATGATTATGCAAAGATTCTTATAATACTCGTTAGTGAGACATCGTATCTACTTTTTCGGAAAGCGATTCCGGCAGCGGAGTCAGTTATTTTGTATATAACTGAAAAAAAAAATTGCTGCTCATCGCGATAATAATCGATAATCCGGTATCATCGTAATTGTCAACCGATTAGCGTTATCTCCCCCTTATCAGAGTTTACCTTTTTTATTGAGGCATACACTGGGCAATCGAACAGTAGTTTACAAGGACGTGCGTCAGCCAAATCATCTGAAAAAACTTAACTGTTGCGCGAACAAAAATAGATCTAAATCTAGATTAGTGGCTGCGGTATTGAATTTCAATTATTGTTCTCTTGACGCTGACGATCATCGCAGTCAGGAGCGTACCAAGCTTCAAGTGGCTCTGTTTAACAGTGTATGTAGTGTTTATGTTTTGTACAAAACCAACGACAAAATGTAGGTACCAAAAACAATCTCAATTTGATATTATTATTGGGCTTTTTGATAGGCATAAAATTTAAAACCAACAAATGTTATCTCTAATTCGGATGAGTCCATATATATTTTGACAGATGGTTGTGCTCTACTCTTTAGCTCACATTGAAGTCATGAACTATACCTAAAATATCTTGTTTGAAACACTTTACGAAGGGCCGGTACTTCAGCACAAGTTAGCCCTCGGTTAAGATTATTGGAGGTTTGAATGTGACATGTGCCATATAAAATTTGATGATTTGAACAGGAAGATAGGATTGAACAAAATTTTACAGCCCGGGGAAACTATACTTATCTGCTTTTTCCTTCCCGCGTAGCTTCAATCACCTTACAGCGGAAACGACAAACCCAGAAATTTAGAAAAAAATGAGAGGTGTCGTTCGAGCTTCTTTTGGAAGGATCAGTCTGAAATCCTAAAATGTCGCTTCAAAATATTCATTTACAGCTAAATAACAGTTTGACAACATGTATAATGTTTCTGAGAAACTCTATTAGGTTTTCTGGATAGGAATACCTTCCGAAAATCGGCATTTTTTAAGCAAAAATTTAATAGTGAACGAGCTTATGCAAAAAACTTTCAAATTATTTCTGTGATGTTTATCAGATGCTGGAAATTACTCCTTTGGGTATTCCTGTTACAAATTTTGTTCAAAACGTTGTCTTAGGCGTTATGTAACATTTCAGGTGGCTTTAGTCATTAATCAAGTATACGATTCAAGAATTATTGAGTTATACAATCTGGGTAGCACGAATACAAGTCCAATATTGGGACCAATCCAGGTGTGGGTCAGTATGGCCCCTACTTCGAATCCAGTGTTGATTATTATTTCCTTGATGCACCGTCTATGATGTCTATGTCTATTGACTGTCGTCGCGTAGATTGTAGATCGAGCGGGAGTCGTTTTGCCTCTCGGCACTGCTACCTTCCCAGATATTTCGTGCAGGACTCTAAATCCCAGTATGCCTCCAAGAAATTAAGGCTTCTTAGGAAGCTATTTTATTGAGGGATAGTTGGCAATAACTTCTTGGGTGGTTGGCAGTTTCCCCTTGAGGTCCAGATTTGAAGAAGCAATAGTAGCTGTTGTCTTTTGCCTTTCGTAATGCCTTTAGGTGATATTTTACTGGGCAGTGTCCGGTGAGCAGTCCGACGACCAATCTGATGTCATTTCTGTTCATGTGTAGGTTCTCTTTTGTGATGTGGTGATGGACCTTTTCGCGTGTCTCAGTCGTGGAGTTTGTCTGCAGTATGTGGACAATTGGTCCATCTCCCATTTGTTTAGTTCGTTTGTTGCGTGACTCTTCATTAGGACCTTGTTTTGCGAGGCTCTCTGCTTCCTCGTTGCCAGCTATGCTCCGGTGACCAGGCACCTACATCTAGTAGCCGTTAACGTAACACGCATCTGAAAACAGAAGTCGAATAGAAAGTTTGAAGTATTATTGATAATTTCTCTGATAACTTCACAGAATTATAGTCGGCGATCGAAATCATCTTCGTTCAGTTTTCGAGCCAATCGTTTTCCGAAAGGAATAAGGATGACACCTATTTTGCTTTAGGATTTCCCGGATTTCTGTGGATGAGCACCGAATGTCGGCATTTTCTTTCTATTTTTGACTCATCCAATTCGTTAAGCTGTTGTAATACATAAGCAGCTGTCACATATTTTTCAGGATGCCTCTGATTGAATAAAGTCGGATTCGCGATTGTTGGTGCATTGTCGTCAGACTTGTTTTTCAATTGACTGTTTCAATATTCTCTCACGTCTCCTACACGCAAAATTTTCCTTTTCGAAACGATGGCGATGGCTTGTTCGGTGTTCTTCAGACTCTACTTCACCGGAATTACATTGAAAATTGGAGTAATTTTTCTTCAAGAGAATGGTCCAATAATGACCTATCTCTACATGGAGCTACACTGAAAAAAAAGGTACACAAATATAACGAAAAAGTGCATTGAGCCAGTGAATCTCGTCATTAATATTGAGCCGGTGAATAAATTTGTTAATATTATGAAAAGCTGTTCGTTAAATAGATGAAAGAAAGGTTCATTGATTTAACGGTTGAATTCATTATCGCAGAGTAAGGATTCTATCATTTTGACGTATAGAATTCGTTGCCTGAGTGAAATAACTTCTTCAATATAATGTACAAATAACATTGGTTTAATGAATCGAATTTTCAATTTAATGTATGCGGTTTCATTGGCTTAACGTATAAATGCATTATCCTAGGCTCAGTTGCATGAACAAGAATATTCATATTATGGGTTCTCTGATCTCTCGCTCTTTCCTGCGTTTCTTCTTTTCGGTCTCGTGTCTGCGTCGCTGTTCTTCAAAAGTTTGCGGTCCATCGTGGACTACTCGACTCCGTGAGGGCCTATTATTTGTCCTGGACTGTTGCTGATGCTGATATCGATGTGGCACTTCGCCAAAATTTCCTTTAGAACATCTTTGTAGCGTTTTTGTTGACCTCCTTGATTCCGTTTTCCATCTTTCAGCTGACTGAGAATATGTTGGGGAAGACGTGTTTCGGGCATGCGAACGAGGTGACCTATCAAACGAAGTTAGTGCTTGATGATAATGGCTTCCAAGTTAGTTGGGTTGGCCTCCTCTAAAACACTAATGTTCGTTCGTCGATCTGGCCATTTAATCCGTAGGATCCTTCTAAGGCATCGCTGGTTGTATTTTTCTGGTCTTTTTATGTGTTTTCTGAAGGTGGTCCATGTTTCGCAGTTATTTATATAAGTGTTGGTATTACAACTGTATTGTAGACACGAAATTTGATCTCAGCACTGATGTCGTGATTGTTGCAAACTCTGTCTAGAAGTCGCCCAAACGCCGCGCTAGCACACTTCAAGCAATGTTGGATTTCAGCGTCAATGGTTGCCTGCGCTGACAGATGGCTTCCGGGTAGTGTCCCACGTTCTGCAATGTTTTCCGTACACTATAAATGAAGAAGTTATTCCACTCAATGAATACGTGAATTCCGAATTTCTTCCAAAAATATAATTTCCGGATAATGTACGATATACTGTCGATAATATGGAGTTTGGGTGTGTTTAATGAATTCTATACGTTAGCATGACGAATAGGTTTATATTAAAACTATTAAATTCATTAAATTGATGAGTAAAGTTCGTTAGTTATAAACGTTCATTAAATCACTAACACATTCGTCAAGCTGAGGAAACATATTCATTAATTAATGAACTCTTGGTCATTGATTCAATGCATAACTTCATTGACACAATGAAGAAAGTTTCATAAGCATGATGAACAAACTTTTTGGGATAAGAAATAATCATTAATACAATGAATGTGGTTTATGAATGATTATTCATAAAATCAAGGAATAAAATCACTGATCTTCAAAGAAAGTTCCTTATACTGATGAAAGTGTTCGTTCGAACAATGAAAAATAAAAATTCACGGGTTTTATGATAATAATGAACATAAATTCTTTACATTAAGGAACGGAGTCATTAGGCTATGAACACTGATTAATTGGATTGATGAAATATTTCATTTAATTAATGAAAAAAAAATAACAACCGCCATTCGTCAATATTATGAACGATTTTTTTTTCAGTGTAGATGCTATAGAAATAGTAGCTACACGACCACCGCCTCGTCTAATGATAATTTTTTAGGATTAGGTTCTACTAACTTAACCTATTCTACTAATAGATCTTACTTTGAGTGCAGCCGTACATACCTTTCCATAAATACCTTTCCGGGTGCCATTGACCATGAGAGAAGTGCAGTGCCATTAGTGCTGAAACAGCGTGTCACGTGTCATGAGGAGTTGAATTTGTAGCACTGCATTAAAGTGAACGGATAGAATGTAGACTAACATCAAGTACCTACCTACTTGTTTCCATAATTTTGACCATAATTTGTTCGGTGGAATGAAATGTAAAAAGTTGTAAAATTGTTCCTTCTAATCCTACTAGATATTTCGATATTTATACATTCAACTAGGTCCAGACTATCAATGTTGCTGTTTACCAGATTATAAATAAAAGTTAAACCTGCCTTATTTCTAGGCTCATCCAAAGTTTTTAGACTAAGTAAATTTTGAATCTGGGCATAAATATGGTCCTGAATAATAACTCCCAACCTGAATGCTCAATACCTTAAGAATTTATGCTGTATTCTTTCCACGGTACGAACATGAACTGCATGGTAAGGTGACCATACCACAGCCGCATATTCAGGTTGTGATCTTATAAGGGAACAATAGACACCTCTAATAGTATCAAGAGCAAAAAGACTGCAATTCTTCAAAACAAAACTCAATGCCTTCACTGTGACATAATTTATATGCTCCACAAATGTTGAATTTTCATCAAATATAACTCGCAGGTCTTTCATTTTCGAAACATATTTTAGAGTCCATCCAAGGAGTATAGGCAGTGTCGAACTTACGTTTTGCTTTGAAAAAACTTACAAAGCAGCACTTCGACACGTTTAGGTTTAATTTATGATCTAAACACCAAACACTTAGTGCCCGTACTTTTGCTCTCATTTGACAGCCGTTAAAAATAAACTTTGGTTTGAGCAACAGATTGGGGATTCCGTCTGTCCCCAAGGTATTGTATTTTTGTTTGGTAATTTTGAGATCTTATCATAAATTTTCTCTACAGAAATAGGCGCAAAGTCAAACGACTCCGAATAATTCTTTGAAGGTTCAAAGATAGAGAAGTTATTCAGGTTTCCTGGGACGTAAACAGTTTCAAAGTATTTTTTAAATAGATTAGCTACATCTTGCCCACTATTGGCACTCTTATTATTGTAAAACATTGTTTGTGGAAGGGTATTATTTGATTTAGGATCTCGGATATATTTCCAGAAGTACCTGGGATCAGCTTGAAACTCAAGAACAACTTTAACCATGTATAACTGCAACATTCCTCTCTAACTCTTTTTGCACTCCGCAAACGTAACCCAGAAAATTTTAATTAGTCCGTGGGTGACCTAGATTTGACATAAGCTTTATGTACATTTCTTTTTTAGTAGGTAAGATCACGCAATTCATGTGAGAACCATTTTGGGTATGTGCAGGATCTGTATTTCTTTAAAGAAACAAAACTGGCAATACCTTTACCCAGTATCTCATAAAGTATTTCGGTAGCCTTATTAATGATACACCGGGACAAGCATCGCTCTCAATCCACACTAGCCGAAAAATTATTGAGCTCAGAGTAATTAGCATTTGTAAAGTCATAATAAAAATCTTGTTGAAATAAATTGGATTCCTGTTTTCCATTTAAATTTTTCGCAATTTCATACCTACATGGTGAAAACTATCATCTAATCTTGGGTCCTTCGCTAAACCTACTTCTACACTATTGTCATTAGAAAACATAAGATCTACGAACACATTTCTGTTCTTGGAAATAATAATTACTTGGTAATGATGTAGAAATCCAAAAGACTGAGCAATCTGATTAATCTGAACACCATACGATGTACCTGGGCAATTAACCTGAGCTCCATATTCATCATTCGACCAACGAGTTTTGGTAGATTATAATCGCCAAAAACAAAATTTTTCTCAGAGCTTTGGAGGTATAATACATTCTCGAATGCCTCACTGCGAGCCATGTAGTAAGTTTCTGGCATGTTAGGAGGAAGGTATTCCCCAGCTATAATAAATTTGGACCCGTTATAAGCACATGTGATAAATAAATGCTCTACTGTATCCTGGTTCACTTAAATTAAGCTAGATGAAATTTTCTTCTTGACAAAAATCAGAACCCCGCCACCACTCGACTTTTGGCTAGTTAAAATTGATCTATCACTTCGAAATATGTTTGAACTATTCACAGCTAGTTTCAGAGATTCTAACTTAGTGCGTAGCCCACTTAAAGTATGACAGTATACAATCAATGGGGTATTAACTAGTTATGGTCCATAGGTTGCAGATTATAAAACTTGGAAACCTTCTTATATACCTTTGTTACTATTATATACCCATTATATAACTTGACGTTACTATAAGTTTCGAAAAATGTTTATTGGGAGGTCAAAGGTCACGAAAATCGTTTTTTTGCGAAAATCTCGCTTCCAGTGCATCTGACGTCGTAGAACTCAAAACAAAACTTACGTAAAATAGTATTTTCTACAAAACTGTTCATACAAATTTTTTTATACGATCAACCGTTTTCGAAATATAGCTTGATAAAGCGGGAGCGCACATTCAAAATAGGTGATACTGTATTATACTTCAACTGGTCAAAAATACTAGGGTATATAGAGGAACCATAGAGAAGTAATTTGAGATAGGACACCTACCTATTAATAACTTTTTACCAATTGCGTCCTTCGGTATTTTGAAGCACTAGTGAAGACGACACAAGCGCTGAAACATCGGCTGTGTCTTGACTCAAACATTTTAACGGTCTAAGATTTTAACAGACTGGTCCAAATAAAACTATAAATTTATTCGGGAAATTGTTGTATATATGCTTATTTTTAGGTACCTACAAGAACATAAATAAATTATATTTAATTAATTTTTTTTTCCAGATTCTAAACCTACGCCAATGAAAGAAGCTTAATAAAAGATCAAGAAAACGCAAATTCAAAACATCGTTTATTTCCATGTCGGTTTGTTATAATATACCTAGAGTGTTTCCATACACAAGCGCTCGAGTCCTCAGCGAAAATATCCGCGGTGGCTATAAAATACCCGCTCCCGGTGTTTGTTGTGACGTTTCGATAAATGTTTGGATTCGCAGATCGAAAACAGACATGGAAGAGAATTTTAAATAAATCCACCAGGGAGATCAAGTCTAGTGCGCCTCTTTGATATCCGGATGAAGTGATAAACAAAAGACACCGACCAATGCAAATAGGCGCCTCATATTGTTTTATTTGGCGCTCTGATATGTCAAAATGGTCAAATGGGCTGTGTACTGTATAGTTTACTTTGTTTTTTTAGTGTGCCAAGGACAGGATTTAGCAGATACTGACGGTAAGATTACTTTTAGCATGAAACATAATAATTTATTCAATAAATAGTCTTATAATATTTTTTTTTTTAATTAAAGGAGTGAACTTAGAACAATGTTAAGAATCAATATAGAGATGATGTTGATATATTATAAACCAAAAAGCCAATGTAATTTTACGATTCTAATACCTGACAGTGACAAGTAAACTTAAGGATCGTAAAAATTCTGAAAATTTTGATTTATTTACGGCTTGTTTTGATAGAGAAATCGCAAAAACAATAAATTTTGTAAATGAAGGCAATCATTTGAAATTGGAAATGTGCATGACCAGGACAATTTTTTTTAAGATAATAGATTATATTATTGTTACGTATTATGTAGGTTTACAGATAAGTGACACTTTCTTTTTCTTATTCTTTCTTCATCTGCATTTTCTGTCCACTTCTAGACGTAAGCCTCTTTCATGTTTCTCCATGCTTTCCTGTCCTGTGCTATCTGAAACTACCTATTTCCCGTGTTTTTTGATAATCTTTGTTTTTCTCAACTCCCAGTGTATTAGTTGAGTCGTCCATTTATTTTGATCTTGTTGAACCACGTTTCCTACCCATTGCGATTTCAGTTCTGCCATGCATTATACAATTTGCTTATAGGATTACGTGAGTCTGACATGCGGACGACACGACTAGCCCAGCGAAGCCGGCAACGCTGAGTCTTCATCTTGTTTTTAAGTTTTTAGAAAATTTGGAAATCTTTTTTGGATATAGTACCTCTATATCGAGCTCTATATGCTATATATTAAATCCGTTATTGACTGCAACCTATTTTATATTTTCTAGAGGTACTACACAGCTGGATCTGGTGCGTTATTAGTATTTGGTGCAGACTGATATAGGATGTTTGTTTATTTCTAGACCGATGCTTGCCTAAATGCATTCAGAGTAGTATGTAATTCTTCATGTAGGGGAGGGTGGGCCACCATGAGACGCGTTTACCATGAGACAGTCGCCATTATTTTTTAATAACGTGGGCTATTTGTCTCCCTTTCACAGTACATCAAGTATTAAACATGTTAGTCTTATTTCTGTTGCCAAAGAAGCTGCACGTGCGCCCCCAAATTTTTTGCCGGTTTCGATTTTTTTTTGCCATGGTGAAATTTCTTTTGCCGTAAGTTCAGTACTTCATCAGTCTTTCCCAATATATTTTTATTTTGTTCTGAGGTTTCCAACACAACAGGTGGATATTAATTTCATTGGTTATGTATATTACGTGTGGATTTTTTCACGCTTCACCAAAATATTGCGGTTTGTAACTCAGACCTACCATGGGCTACAATGAGACACGAAGTTTGGGCCACCTTGAGGCGTGTCTCAAATGTTGAGAAAAAAATATTTTCTTCAAAACATGTCACGAGGACGCAAATAAAAATTTCAAAAGGCCTGTTTAGTGCCGAATCAATAGAAAAGCCTGTCGAACATGTGATTGAACATAAATTAAGCTTTAAGGAATGCAGCAGAGAAAAACAACGTGAAACATCAAACATTTGCAAGATATGTTGAAAAAACACAAAATAATGAAGAAAAGTTATAATACTGCCCCCCTCCTTACGATGTATTATTTTTGAATAAACCTTATTTTTCTCTTTTTTTCTCGGTTTTTATGTATGTCTCAAAGTGGCCCACCTCATGGGCTACCTTGAGACAAAATCAAAATTTTTTAGATTCCTCTATAAAATAAAATAAATAATATTGTGCTAATAATTTATTCAAAAAATGGTTGCAATAAGATGAAAGATTATGAGGCTCACGAAACTGTAGCGCAAAAATTAAAATTACCAATTTTATCCCCAAAAAAGTAAAAACTATCTCATTGTGGCCCACCCTCCCCTACTCTGTATTTGTCAGGAATGCCCATCCTGGAAAATCACCATCACAAACATTTCTTGCAAATAACTTGGTTTCGTCTCGAATCCTGCTTAAATGGAATAGCTTACCATCAGATCTATATGACATTTCAACGCCCAACGGCAGGTTTCCTTAGACAAGGTGAAGGACTCTAAAATATAGAGAATAAGCTTGGCACAATTACACATCCTTCCTTCACTCCAGTTGTGATTTGAAGGTTCCGGGTCCGTTGTTGGTAAAGACAGTAGCGTTTATGCTGTCATGCAGTTAACGAAGTATGTTGACGAATTTAGGCGGGCAGCCGTGTTATGCCATATTCGAAGGTTTGTTTTGCTCTTTAGATTTTCCTTGCATTTGTCTTGCACTGAAAATCATGTTTTCCTTTCCTCGTTTAGGACTGAAACCACACTGTGTGGGCTTGCTTCGGCCAGAGAAAGAAGTCGGTTGGGGATAATCTTTGGAAGAATTTTTCCAGCTGTAGGGAGCATTGATATTCCTCGTTTCCTTGGTATTTTCCACATTGTGTCTTATTGATCGCCTTTCTTGAATATTGTGACGATATAGGTGTTTCGAAGATCTGTGGGAATTGTCTCAGCATTCCGTATTTTGGCAATGAACCAAATGTGTGTTCGACCAACGCATGACCTCTCATCTAAAAATTTTTCTAATTAACTCAGCAAGTTTATAATTCTTGAGTTAGCTTTCTCAACCTCTTGATGGGAAGAACGTCTCTCAGATAGTTTTGAGTGAGTTATTGAAGGAGTTTGTTGAAGACGTCATCATCTACGTGAGTATCCCTGTTCATGAGTTCCTTGAAATGCTGCTTCCTTCGAAAGTGAACAGAAACTCGATCTCTTTGTAGCTGAGATCCATCTCTAGATCTAAGGGGCTAAACAAGGCTGTTGTGTTGTTAGAGGCTGCTAAATGTTCTAATTTGGTTGACTTCGTTGTCCACTACTCGTTTTTCAGCATTCTTGTTATTTTTTGTACTTCAGCTTTGCTTGGTAGGTTCGTTTTTTGGGTCGTTTTGCTAGATGCTTTCCTTTCCTGATCGAAGACATTCAAATTTTTTTTATTATTCTCATCAAACCAATCCAGATGTTTCCTTTTGATAAAGCCCGTTTATTCTTGTCAGTTGGTCAGCATAGTAGCAGCTGTTTTATGCGTTGACCAGTGCTCTTCGATATGGTTGGGATATTCAGCTCACCATTTCTCATTCAGTATTAACTAGAAGTATGTTTTGGTGTCTTGATCACTCAATACTCAACCTGCGTTCTGGTCGTTTCCTTTGTTTCTATTGTTTGGGTGGTACTTGTAGAGTCATTACAGATCGAATCAATCGGCGATCAATTCAGCAGTCATCAGCATGGCCTATAGCTCTGATTACTTTCACATCACGATGATGAGATGCCAGTGTCTTGATCTTGGCTGATGCCATACAGTTTTCAGCTTATTTTTTTACGAAAGAGAATACCCATTTGTGACAACGAGATCGTGTCTGAGCATTTGGTCAGCGTATATTGAGTTACTTCTGCCTATACCCTTGTTGCCAATGGTGTCATTCCATAGGGAGGAGTCTCTGCCGACCCGGGCATTGATGTCTCTCAGTAAAATCACTTTGTCTGATCCAGAAATAATATCCTACTGGCCTACTGGCAATATTGGTTTTCAAATTTCATTTCGAAAACGAAGCAGCATACTGCAGCCCATCCCGAAAAAGGGCAAGAAAACTCTTCCTAGCAATTATCGTCCCGTCTCACTTATGTCCGTATTTTCGAAAGTAATGGAGAAAGCCGTCAACCTGAATCTGGTTACTTAAATACCTCGAAGCCAATAAGCTGATCTCTGCCAAACAGTACGGTTTTCGTTCTACAACATCAACAGAGGATCTGCTGGCGGACGTCAATCATATTTGAAACTCGCCTCTCGAAAAACATGGCGAATCCAGAATCGTAGCATTGGACATCTCCAAGGCTTTTGATCCGGTGTGGCACAAAGGTGTCTTCAAACTCCCATCGTATGGTCTTCCGAACGAATTTTGCCATTAGCTGGGAAACTTTTGGAAGGCAGGTCACTGGATTTTGTGGTCGATGGTGTGTCTTCTGATACACTGCCTATAAATGCCGGCGTTCCCCAAGGTTCAATTCTGTCCCCAACATTGTTTTTCATTTTTATAGATATCTTGTTAAATGTAACAAGAAACCCCATATACAGCTTTGCGGATGGTAGCAGCTTGATGGCATCTTTCTCTTCGGACAAACCACTTACTGCAGTCACTTCCACACGCCTCGCCCGAGAACAGATTCGCTCTATGATCTTGACACCATTACCAACTGGTGCCTCAACAACTTAGGCAAATTCAATGCTTCCAAAAGTCAAGCAGCAGTATTCTCAAATAAGGAATCTTCCGCCGATGATAACCCAATTTTAGGAATGTCGGGACAAAACATTTCTAATAATCCGTCAGTATCTCTTCTTGGGGCGACCGCATCTGCCAACTTGTCTTGGCATGACCATACATCTTCGATCGCCAAAATCGCCTCTCAAAAATCAGATTTTTCTGATTCGTGGAAACAACTTCCTTATTTCTGAAACACTTCTTTTTCTTAATAAGGCTCAAATCAGACCATGTATTGAATACTGTTTCCATATCTGGAGCTATGCTCCCAAGCTTTCGTAGGCTCTATTGTAGGCGCTAAATGAAGTACAAAGAAGAGTTATAAAAATGATCGATAACTTGCAATCTCTCGAACATAGACGCAAGGTGGCCAACCTTATCGCTATTACCATGTGAGATGTTCTGACGATCTGGCCAGCTTCATCCCATCTGTATGTGGTAAAGCTGGCTACCTCAAGGACCTCTAAATATAGGGCTTCTGTTTGGTGGCGTACTGTCCTCCCCTAGAACTTCTTGCCTCCTACTTCATTTCCTGAATGATTCAATCTTAATGTGTTTAAACCGGAGGGTTGCTCGTCACTTAATGTCTTCTGCTCATGATATTGCTTAGCTAGTATAGACTTTGTACAGGGTGGTCCAAATTGGACACTTTCTTATGGAAACACCCTTTATTTTTAGAGATGGAAAAAAATGAACCCCCCACTCTGAGGCTCAAATTTTA